CACAGGTCTATAGTTCCCAGGATTCTCCCTGCATCCCTCCTTAAACAAACACATAACATTAGACACTCTCCGGTCATCCAGCACCTCACTCATATTTATAGATAAAACAAATATTTCTGCGAAGGAGCCCCACAATTTCCTCCTTTACTTCCCAAAATATCCTGGGATACACCAGATCAGGTGCCGGAGATTTATCGACCTTTATATTTTATAAGGCTTCCAGCACTTCCTCTCCTGCAATATGAGCTGTTTTCAAAACATCAATATTTATTTCTCGGAGGTCTTTCACCTCCTTCGGTCCAACTTGTCCATGCTGGCCAGCTTTCCTAAACTGAACTAGTCCCACTTGCTTGCATTTGGTCCATATCCCTTTTAAATCTTTCCTATTCATGTACATGTCCAAATGTCTTTTCAATGTTGTAAGTGTACCTGCATCTACCACTTCCTCTGGCAGTTCATTCCACATATGAATGGCCCTCTGTTTGAAAAGATAGCCCCTTGGTTCCCTTTAAATCTTTCTCCTCCCAGCTTAAAAAATGTACCCTCTAGTTTTGAGTTCCCCGATCCAAGGGAAAAGACTTTTGCTGTTCACCTTATCTGCACCCCTCATGATTTTATAAACCTCTCAAAAATATCCCTCAAAATACAACGTCCCAGTTGGAAAAATGTCCCAGTCTCTCCTCATAACTCAAACACTCCAGTCCTAGTGAAATATGGAGTGTAAGTGTAGCATGAAGGCACACAGAGTTGAAAGTCAATCCAACTGTGAGAAACATAATCTAGTCTCCATTTCTTTGGGCCTTGGTCAAATAGTTTGGCAACAGGAACTGTCCAGCTTCATACATGGAGAGTGAACATTTGAGCTAGCTTTCTCCACAGTCAAAACTGACGTGAAATATTCATTTAATATCTCTTCATTGCTAAGTTTCAACATAAAGCGTCCTCCTTGATCTTTAAGGTGCCCAACTCTTTTTCTAGTAGCTCTCTTGCTCTATATGTTCTTGTAGAATGTTGTTGGAGTATCCTTAACCTTGGCAGATAAGGTTATCTCATATCCCATCTCTGCCTTTGTGATCTACCTCTTAAAGCCCTACGTCTTTCTGCTGTTCGAGAAATTCATTTGAACCCAGTTGTCTATATCTAATATCTGATTCATTTCATTCTTAACTAGATCTTCAATATCTTTATTCATCCATTGTTTTCTAATCATACCAGACTAACCTTTCACGCTAACAGGAACATAATGGCTCTGAACACTTGTTATCGCACTTTTAAAAGACTCCCACTTATTGGATGTCTGTCTACCGGTGAACAGCGTACTCCAATCAACTTTTTGAAAGGTTATCTGTCAAACCATTAAAATTTGCCTTACTCCAATTAGAAACTAACTTTTATGGCAGCCTTGTCCTTTCCATAACTGTTTTAAATCTGGTATAATTATGATCACTGAACCCAAAGTGTTCCTCCACTATCACTTCAGTCACTTGCTGTGCCTTATTATCCAAGGGATGGTCAAGTTTTTTTGCTCCTTCTCCAGAAGGAATATTTACATTGAGTCATACAGCACAGAAACAGACCCTTTGGTCCAACCAGGGCATAATTCCAAGCTAAACTAGTCCCAACTGCCTGCTCCTGGCCCATATCCCTCCAAACGATTCCTATTCACGTACGAATACAAATGTCTTTTATAAGTTGTAATTTTGCCCACATCCACTGCTTCCTAAGCATGTTCATCACAAACATGAATCACTCTGTAACAGAATTGGCTCTCATTTCTTTTTTAAATCTTCCTCCTCTCACCTTAACCATCTGTTCCCTTGTCTTGAAATCCTGCACTCTAGGGAAAAGGCACCTGCCATGCACAATATCTATTATAGATTTTATAAACATCTATAAAGTCACCCCTCCAATTCCTAGTCTCCAGGGGAAAAAGTCTCAACTTATCCAGCCTCTCCTTGTAACACAACCTCCATTTCTAGCAACATCCTGCTAAATCTTTTCTGAACCTCCTCTAGCTTAATGATATCCTTTGTATAACAGGCGACCAACAATGGACACCTTACTCCAGAAGAGGCCTCACCAATGTCCTGCACAACCTCAACATAACGTCCTAACTCCTAATACAAAGGTCTGAGCAATGAAGGCAAGCAGGCTAAACACCTTCTTAACCACCCTGTCGCAAACCTCAGATTAACATGCCTGAACCCCTAAGGCTCTCTGTTCTATAACACTACCCAAGGCCCTACTTTTAATTGTACAAGTCCTGGTCTTGATTGTTTTACCAAAATGCAATACCTCACCTTTATCCAAATTAAACATCATCTGCCATTCCTCAGCCCATTGACCCAATAGATCAAGATCTCTTTGTAATCTTGGGTAGCCTCCTTCACTGTCCACTATACCACCTATTTTAGTGTCTTCTTGTAAAATGTTTGAGACATGATTTCCCCCATATAAAACCATGCTGACTATCCCTAATCATTCCTTGCCTCTCCAAATACGTAAATCATATCTTTTACGATTACCTCCAACTACTTACCCACTACTGAAGTCAAACTCCCAGGTATATAGTTCCCAGGCTTCATCTTACTTCCCTTAAACAAAGGCACATATTTAGCCAATGTCCAATCATCTGGCATCTCACCCATAGTTATCGATGATACAAATACTTCTGCAAGTTTCCTCCTTAAGTTCCCACAACGTGATGTAGAGCAGGCCTTGGAAATTTAGTCATACTTTAATACAGCATAGAAACAGGCCCTTCGGCCCAAACTGGTCCATGCTCACCATGGTGCCCACTCGGCTCATTCCAATTACCCACATTTGGTCCACATCCCTCCAAACACTTCCCATCCATGAACCTATTGAAATGTTGTTTAAATTTTGCTATTGTACCTGCGTGAACCACTTTCTCTGGCAGCCCATTCCATATACGCACTACTCTTTGCACGAGGAAGTTTTCCCTCAGGTCTTTCTTAAATCTTTCCCCTCTCACCTTATACCTGTGCCCTCTAGTTTTCCATTCTCCGTTCTTTGGAAAAAGACGCAATGCATTCATCCTATCCATGCCCGTCGTGATGTTATACACCTCATTCTCCTACGTTCCAAGGAATAAAGTCCTGGCTGCCCTCCCAATAATGCGGGCCTACTAGTCCTGGCAACATGCTAGTCAATCTTGTTTGCACAGTTTTCAGTTTAACTATGTCTTTCCTATAACAGGCTGACCAAAACTTGCACAACATTCCAAGTGTGGCCTCACCAACAATTTATACACAACGTCTAACTCCTATATTCATTGCCTTGACCGATGAAGGCCAGCATGCTAAATGCCTTCTTCACCACCCTGTCTACCTGTGATGCCACTTTCAACGAACTATGGACTTGTACTGGTAGGTCCCTCTATTCCACAACACTCCTCAGGACCTTAGCATTTACTGTTTAAGTCCTACCCTGGTTTAACTTTCAAAAGTGCAACATCTCACACTTAGCTGTATTGAATCGCACTTGCCAGTCCTCAGCCCGCTTCCCCATTTGATCAAGATCCCTCTAAGTTTCAATAACCTTGCTTGCTATCAACGATACCTCCTCACTTTGTATCATCTGCAAACTTACAAGTCATGCCTTGTACATTCGCGTCCAGATCACTTGGTTAAATAACAAAGGTCCCAGCACTGACCCCTGTGGCACACCACTAGTCACAGGCCTCCAGTCTGAGAAACAAACTTCAACCATCACCCTCTGCTTCTGACCATCGAGCTAATTTTGAATCAAATTAGCCAGCTCTCCCTGGATGCCATGCAACGTGACCTGCGTGACTAGGCTGCTGTGTGGGACCTTGTCGAAGGCCTTACTAAAGACCATATGTACAACATCCACAGTCCTACCCTCATCTATCCTGTTGGTTACCTCTTAAAAAAACTCAAAGATTTGTCAGACATGACTTGCTGCGCACAAATCCATGCTGACTATCCCAAATTTAACTATACAAATGTTGGATGATCCTGCCCCTCCGTATCCTCTTCAATAATCTGCCAATAAGCCTGATGTCAGGCTCATAGACCTGTAGTTCCCTGGCTGGTCTTTGCTACCTTAAACAATGGAACAACGTTAGCCACTCTCCAGTCTTCTGGAACTTCACCAGT